TATATATATATATATATATATATATATATATATATATATATATATATATATATATATATATATATTCATACACATAGAGGGCAAAAAAATAAAATAAGTGCTTTTTTTTAACTGAGGTGGTAATTGAGACACTTTGCCAATGGAACGAGACAATTTACATTTAAAATGAGAAAAAAAATATTGTATTGTCTTATTTAAGTGCATATTATCTAATTATCTTATTTTCAGTGTAAAAATACTAATTCCATTTGCAAATAATCTTATTTACCTACTTAAATTAAGGGGAAATACACTAAATTTAAGACATTATTACTTATTTCTGGATCGTTTTTTCATGGTATATATACACACAAGCTACAAAGGAGTCAAACAGTACCCATTTGGCTACTTACCACGCTGACTTTGACAGCATAGAGCAGGTCAAAAGGCAGTGCAGCCACCAGGTCAATGATGAACCACGTTGTCAGGTAATGGATGCATATCTGCCGAGCGTCAAAGATGACCTGACCTGACTTGCTGACAAAGGTGGTGCGAAAATTGAAAATAATATCTGCCGTTAAAAAACAGAAAAGTGAGAGTTTGGTTATTCTGCAAACAAAATGATTAGAGTACACAATGAAATAATTTGTTATCTGCAACCAACCAATGATGAAGAGGATCTCCACACCAATATCACTGACAGTTGTGCTCCGGGTCAGATCATCGTCGTCACCAATGAAGCACACATTATAGGGCACTGTTACAGCAACGTAGAAGGTGGCGAGCAGGATCAGCCAGTCCCAGCCTGCTTTAAATGTGCTGTAGTGAAGCAATATGAATTTGGACTTCTTGGCATCTGCAACCTTATACTCTGGTAGAGCAGGTGGATCGCCAAACATATTCTAGAAAAGAGAAGAAAAAACTTAGCCTGTTTTTTAAAATCCCCAGCTTTAAGCTGGTAAGAACTGCTTTAATGGGGTCAATGTGTGAATTGTTTTTTTTGTTTTTAATACAAACAACCCTTCCTGTTGTCTTTCTTAACATCTTTACAGAGATTGTTTTTCTTATGAGGCTGGACTACATATCTTAGTGATAAGTGGTCAATATTTTACCTGAAGAAAAGCAAATGAATTAAATTGGAAAATTGAGAAAATATATTTTGCTCATAAAGACAATTCAAACTCCCTTACTTTGTATTAGACAACTTTCTAACAGTATCAATATTGTATAAATTTGTAATATTATGCTCCTAAGCTGTAAAATGCTTCTTAAAGCTAAAGAAGTTTTTTTCTTTACACTTCACTTTTTAGCTTTTTTTTTGTACTTGTTCTATACATAAAAAAACCTGGTATGTCTTTTAACTATAGCATAATGCAAGATTGTAGTACAGTCACAGACAATTTATACAGTGGTAGCCAAGCAGGCTATATATATATATATATATATATATGTACATTGAGAGGTGGCTGAAAACAGATTGGCGCCAGAACCTGTTTCAGCTTGACCTAAACCTAAATATAACTAAGAACAACATATATATCACCAAATATATCAGCAAAGACAAACCAGATTTTCCTAAAGCCTTTCCTTATAAATATAAACACCTATTTACACTTTCATTCTGTCTAAATTAAACAGTGCAATCGATGATCTTCTTTCAGCTTTGAGTTCCAGGGGGATCATCTATTCTATTGGGTATCAAAAATGCCAATCTTTTTGACATGCTTACCTAAAATCAATGCACATGCTCTCGCTGCACCTGTACACCTCTAGTGTCTGTGTTTTCAGTCAGCTTTGGTTTTATTGTAGCTCTACCGATCTTACCATATACTGTGCTAATGGCAGAGAATTGCAAGAAGCAAATTGTTTAACAAGTTCATGACAAGAAGAAGAGGACCTCAAAATACAATATGTTTTCCTTTCCAACATGAAATCAATTTTGAAGCTTTAAAGCTACAGTGTCTAATAATTACAGAGATTTACTGACAGAAATATATTATATTATACGTAAGTGTGTTATTTATTATCATCTACGAACTGAAATTATCACTCTTAATGTTTGTGGTGCCTTAGAAATTGCTATTTATAATTAAATATTTTCTCATTTAGGGATGCAGACATGTTTCTTTTATGGCAGCATAGAGCTGACAACCTAGTGAACAAACTGTAGAGATCTCCATTACGCTCGAATATGACTGTGACAAATTAGGCCTATATAAGGTCTATATGCTACAAAGACTAAATAAATGATTTTCATAATTTAATCTATGCAAACAAACCTTGTTATCATTTTACAAGATAGGTAATGCAAACATTGCCATTTTGTACTATAACGACCTCCGTATTGTTAGAAGGGGAGAAGCGGCGAGAGAAGCTGTTCATTTCTCTGCAGTCTGATCATTAGATCTCATTAATAATTACACACTGTAGCTTTAACTATTGACTGATAAATAGTGACCCGATACAATACCACCAAAAAACGTACATGGTTTAATTACTATTTTTTTAGTGTGAAATGTTAAAAAAAGTTTGTTCAGTTGATACTACTCAAACAGAAAACAGTAATCAAAAACAAAAGGTATGAGAATGACTGACCCATGAATTACTAACCAGTGGGTGAGATAAACTCTAAACAGAAGCAGTGTATTCATAGAGATTTTAGATACAGGCAATTTCATATTTTCTTAGTTTATTTCAAACCAATTTCAGCTTGGGAAATCCATATGCACAGTTTGTATGGTAAAATATTTCAGTTGGTGGTGGAAGAAGACGTAGAATATTTTGAACATGGACAGTTATTCAAAAAGTGACTTGGGCTATTTTATGCCTACATTCCTAGATAAATCATCCCCTATAGCTTTAATCAATTAAAGTATTGTTTATTTATTTATCTATCAGTGTCAGCGTTGCCACCCTCTGGTTACAATGGGGAATTGCTAGTCCACATGGGAACAACAAATCTTAAGGTAGGGGTGGTCACTGATTGGCTGAGGGTGGCCTTGGCCACTCCTGGACAAAACTGGCAGAACTTCTTCATGAACAAAACAAACAAAAAAACTCCAAAAGAAAACACAAAAAAAACTACAACATACAATATTAACTGTTCATAACTAATCCACATTTTCCTATTTTGCTGAACAAAACAGGCAAATAAAAAAAAAATAAAAATCATATCAGCAGTACAGTTCTTGCATCTAAATAACTAATTGCTGTTTGTAGAAGAGCTCACTGACTTGTCCCCTCCCCCCCTTCTCACCTGTCTGCCCTTGATTTTGTCATCTGTCCTTTAACAGCAGCATCACTGCTCCCTTTTCCCCATACAGTGACCCTTACATACAGTAGTTCCCTTTCCCACCCTCTTCTGTTAATTGAACAACGTGATGATACCTTGTTGATTTTAATCTTGCTCTTCTCCCTGCTGTGGAGGTGACCAGAGATGTGGTAGAGCACCGTGCTGCCCCGCAGACGAGCCGAGCTGAATGAAGAGCCCGTTTTCACCCTGCCGCGTCGTCGCTCTGTAAACACATACACACAAAATGTTGTTACACACCTATCTACAACATCTACCCCCCAAGGTTAACTCTTGATGACTGAATCAGTCATTACGCTTGATGAAAAACACATAATATTCTGTCCTAAATAGGAAAACATGAATATGCAAAAGGAGAATAAGCAGTTTGTTTATACCAACAAAAAGTGTTTAAGAGATGCTACCCATGTACACTTAAAAGAACTCTGAATTGTTAAGTTATATGATACTTGGTATAATGCAAATGATGCCTTGCTAACTCAGTTTCCTGCTTTTAGAAGAGTGTCAGTTCTGTATATCATGCTGTATTTTCTGTGAGTAATTACATTTGTGTGAGCTTAAAAACATGCCCTATTCTTTTTAAGTGAGTTGCAGTAGCATACAGATTATGCAGGAGTGATGACTTCAGTCAAAGAAGTTGTAATTACAGAAAGCACATTATTGCTGTGGAGTCTTGGGTCTTTGTTTAGTGATGTGAGCCAACGGGAAGGGGCAGAAGTGGGTTTAGAGATGATAACGCTGCTGAAGAGTAAAAATTATAACTGCTTCTAAGCGTCCTGTTGGAAAGTCTGTGTGCTTCATGGGTGATTTGTGTGGACCCAAGAAGAGGTAGGCAGACAGGCCCCATCCATAACATGGCACAGCCTTGGGGGATGCGACATGGCAGGAGCACAGAGATAGACACATGCTTATTTTTAGATCTAATGAATTTCACTGCACTCCTATTGCCTTTCATATAGGGTTAAGGAAAAGTGCGAGTCTTGTGTGTGAGAAGGGGGAAAAGATATTTAGGATTAGAAAACCAAGGTGAAAATGGACAGTTGCTGGTCAAGACAGCTGGAATAGAGGTGATGGAGGAACATGGGAGTAGGCAAGAACAAAGCAGAGAATTAGGAATAGGAAGGAATTGGAAATCCAGCTGCTGAATCAAATTGGGGCTAACTCAAGATTGGGATTCATTTTTTCCTCTGTTGACTTGCCCAAAGAGCT